CTTTGGCTTCTCTGAGGATTGATGGGCATCAGTACTCATATACAATACTCGTATCCCCTTGGCCCCGGGATTGCGTGTGTGTGTTTTGGGTCCAATTCTTGGTCACTTTGTTTTGATTCCGATTCCGATTTCGTAGGGTTATGTATTTTTGTTGTTGTTGTTGTTATAGGGTTTAGCTTTCATTGGTTGCTGGTGCCTGCTTGGATGGCTTAATAACGTTATTTTTCTCTGGTCATTGTACTTTTAATGGTCAAGCAGCAGCAGCAGCAGAATCTCGGCAGCAAACAAATCAAACGCAGTCGCCGTTTGCCTTTGGGGCGCTCTGCCTATTGCCAACATTCGCATCGATCATGATCATCGTGCCCCCAGGTTGTTGTTGCTGCTGATGCTGCTGCTGCTGCTGATGATGATGAGGATGAGGATGATGATGATGAACGTGGTCATGACAAAGGTTGCCTCTTTTTTTTTGTAGCAGTTCTTGGTGTAGTTGCTGCTGTTGTTGTTGTCGTGCTGGTTGCGTGGCAGCAACAACTTATCGACGAAGTTTCCTGGGACTCTGAATAAGGATGATGCTACCGATGATGATGAGATGGTAGATGGTAGATGGTGGTGGCTCTTATAAACTTGAGCTTCTGGGTGGCGACGCATAACAGCTCGGACACACACATACACACATACACACTCGGCCATCGAAAGCTCTTTCATCGCATGACAAGCGGCCGGCCGAAATGTTTAAGAAAAAACGTAAGAAAAAATAAAAACGGCAAACAAGTTGAACAAAATCCTGAGAGAAAAAAAACGACCTAAATTGTAATTCGTATTGATTTTGGGTGTGTGTTTGTGTGTTAAATTTAAATATACATATATACCAGCAAGAAAAAATAGAATCCCACATGCAACTATCATTTTCCATAATCAAGTCATAATATAAAAGAAATAAATAATAATAAATAACTAGGGGCAAGCCCCATGAATAGCTCTTTTAAGCATTTTTTAAAGTATGCTGATTTTCCCTGCTCAAGATTGCTCATCCATCCTTTGGAGCAAATCAATGAATGGACGTCCGGATGCTGTGATATTGCACCAAGCATCTTAATTAGAAAAGTGTCTCGTATTTTCCAAGAGAAAAGATTTGCAAGAATTTTAGCGCAATCACCTTTATCCTTTACCTTCTTGCATTGTGCGACTTCCATGTCGATTCATCATTAGCATAAGTAGCAATATTCCTTTGCTTTCACAGAATACGGATATCTCTTTTTATTTCTCCTATTTCCCGAATACAATGGCTCGCTCCGCTCAACAAGCAAATGAAAAATTTTTAATGAAAGGTTTCCTCTTCTTCAGCGAGGCAGAGACAGTGGCAGAGACTGAGACTGAGACAGAGCCTAATGCAACTTCTGTGTTGGCGGGACGAAAAGATTTTCCGCTGCAATTTCCAACGGAATGAATTGCTTGCCAATAATCCGCTGCGACAGTTGGCAAAAATGCAATTAAAAAATTTTCACTTTGTCGCTGGCAAGGAGAAGATGCCCATGCCCCATGCCCAATGCCCCATGCCCCATGTCCCATGCCATCTTTGTCTGCTCTTTCAGTGTATTCGTGTGTGTGTGTATGAGATGGGACGGCGATGGCCTTTTCCGATTTTGTTTTGCGTAACTTTGACGGCAGAAGGAGCAGCATGGATAGCTCTTGACTTTCCCCCAAGCACCCCCCCCCCCCTCCCCCACCCCTCGCCATGTATCAGCCCCTGACTGTAGCTAAGGAAAATTCTTTCATTTAATAAAATGCGTGCCAAGTTGACAATTTTCACTGAGCTTATCCTCAGTCGGGGATGAAAGGAAGTTTTAAAGTTTTTGATTTTACCAAAGCCACGCCCCAGCTATCTGTCAATCCACTGGAGCCACGGACAGGTGGGGCACGCAGTGGAGAGGAGTGTTTGTCCTGGTCCAAGACCCAGATGTTGTTTGGCCTCTACCTTTGCTGCTGCCCCCGGCAAAGTTTTCGTTCGAAAGGTGTTGTAATGTGCTAAAAACTTGAGTGCATCTTTTTTCCAGGCTAAGGCTTGGTTGGTCTGCCATGATAATTCTGTGTTCTAGGGCTGGGTTGAAGTGCTTAAGGATCGCAAATGATGAAGATTACTTGTGTCAAGACTTTGGGAAGTTTCATGGCACGAAATCATGAAATAGTTAATGGTCGGGCTTAACGTACTGGAAATAAATATGGTATATGTATGTGTTATCCGCATCTGAGTATCCATCCCTAGTTGCTCCATTTGTGGATGCGTGTAAACAAATGATCTAGGCTGGACGGAGATGGATGGCAGAGGACTGAGTACTGAGTGCTTGCCCCTGAGCGGCGCCCAAGTTCAAACGAAGCCAAAGCCACCGAAAACATGTAAAAACCCGGAGCTGGACCACACGCACGCACACCCTGGACACACTCCTCGCCCTACCTCGCGTATGCTACCTGTCCCATCAGCCTGACCGTATTGATTATTGTGATCTGCCGTGTGCCCTGCTCTGTGGGTAATTATGCATTCAGGGGGAGGATGGAGGGAGTTGGGGGAGTGGGGGGGAGGGGGGGCGCCGCTGTCATTTATTTTAAACGATTCCTTTACACATGTCGGAGTCTGTCGCCGCCAACGTTGCCGCATTTATTGTTGTTTTGCTGTTGTCCTTTCTGATGCCTCTGGTGGTGATGTTGCCTCTTCTGTTGCTGCTTCTGCCGGTTGACGATGGCATGCCAATCATTTCGCGTTGATGAAGTGTGAGTGTGGGGCAAAAATGTTGTACCAAAAATATCTTGCTGGTGTTGGTGAAAAAGGAAGGGTGGCTTGTGGCTGGTGGCTGGTGGCAGGGCCGCAAATTGTTGATCGATTGTCGAGGGAACATCCACGGTTGACTCCATCCGGATAGATGAACAGATGAAAGCGAATCGAAGTATTTTGTCAACATTTTGATTGCATTCAATTCGCATTCACTCTGTATTCATTTATTTCGACAGCGGGTGGATGCTTAATTAATCGAAAAATCCAAAGCTGAATCAGAATACCTTTAAATACATTTCTTTAGTAAAGTTTTAGTGCTGATAAAGGCCTTTTGCAAGTGTTCGATTGGTTAATTAACTAAGAAAATATTCTGGTCCGCAATGCTTTAATTTTTGTTGTTGTTGCTTAGATTGTTCTTCAAGATTTCCTTTGATTGTACCGAAAACCTATTGGAAATTTTTCAAGGGTACGAGTACGGATGGACTGGACCCTTGTTCTGTTACTCATTTGCAGTCAGCCGACTAACTGACTTGTTCCACCTCTTTGCCAATAATTAATTTGTTGAAAATGCAACGCCGTCGCTGGGCCACCATCAGAGCCGCCCCAGTCAGAGACAGGGCCTTGCATTATGCATGAGCCGGGACCTGGACCTGGACCTGGACCTGGACACCGAGTTGATGCTGGAGAGACGGAGACCCTTGAGTAATGCGCTTTGGGGGAGCCTCCAAGGTTGCCCCGCTGTCAACATCTGATGTTTCTCCCTGCCACCGCTTTGCTCCCCTCTCCTTTTCCCCTGTTTTCCCTTCTGTTGGCCGCTGCCGCTGATTAAGTCACTAAATTTGCTGCCTGATTTTCTAACTAATTTGCTGTTAATTTGTTGCTTCACTACCGCCAGACGCCAGACTCATTTCCTTCCTGCCGCAGCGAAGAAATGTTGTTTCAGTATAAATGGTGTTTTTTTTTTCGTACGTTTTGAATTGTCAGAATTCTGGGAAAGCCCCCCTTACACACACACACAGCAGACAGATGCAAGCAGACAGGTGAACCCAGGGAAAAGCGGCGGCCGCTGGCCAGACAGGCGTCTAAGGGTAGGATAGGGGGGGACAACATTTTTTTTTATAAAATTCAGCAAAACTGCAAGCGGCCTGTGAAAATTTTACAATGTTCTTGCGTTTTCGGTTTCGCGCTGACGTTGGCGCAGTTTTTCGAATGGGAACTGCAGTTGGGGGCTGGTCAGCCCCAGATTGAGACATAGCTATGTATGTACATACTATTTTTGGTTTATGCGTCTGAATGAAACGTACTCCGGAATGGCTGGGGAATTAATGCAAGATTATTTGTTGCTTAATAAGGTAATAAATATCATCAGTGCCGAATCTAGAGATATACTCTTCGAATGGTTTCCCAAGAGTTTCACGCTGCGCTCCGCATAAACGATGATCAGATGTCGGGGTGCCAGAGCTGCGGCAACACGATCACCCGCTCACTTGATCACTAGTATCTCGTATCTAATGTGTATCTTCCGTGTTTGGGGCAGCTCCGATTACATGGCGGGTAGCACTTTAGGCGCTGAGAAGCAGGAGATTCGGCAACTGCAGATGGATGTGGCCGAGTGGCGCTCAATGCTTGCACCGAAAGTCACGTGCCGGGCATAAAAAATCAACGCATTTCATGTTGTTCATCTGTTTCTGCCTCAATTTCAACTAAGACTTCGATTTCGACAGCGACAGCGACAACGGCAGGCGACTCTTGTTCTGTTCTTCTGTTTTCAATGAAATTCAAAAACCAACAACAAAAAAACATTGCCGCGGAAAGAACAACAGAAAAAGAGTCCAAAAAAGAGAGGGCGAAAAAAAGGAAAGACAGAAGAAGGGAGGCAGCAGCAGCAGCCTCATCAATGAGCGGGCCCAAAAGTACACACAAAAAAAAATACATTAATTGAGGCACACACATACATATAAATATACATATAAATATACATATACATATACATATGTGTGCGTGTGCGTGGGGGAGACTTCGTGTCGTCTTCGTGCTTTATGGGGACGGACTTCTTCTTCGTTTTGGGGCTGCTGCCTGCCTGCCGGCTGCGCTGCCTCTGCCACTGGCTCAGCTACTGCCACGGCTGACGTCGCTGCTCTGTGGGACGCTGGCGCGCTATGCGCTCGGGCTTTTGGCTTTCTTTGCGCACGACTCTCGGGCATTTTGTGTTTGCACGTCAAGGAAGGCAGACGAGGCAAGCAGCCCCAAAGCAGTTGTGCCGCATCGCTTCCGTTACGTACTCGTGTCGCGGACGAGAACCAGAGAACCGAGCGAAACACCCGGGAAACGTGTCGCGTGTGTGCCGTCCGTCGAGTAAGAGTTTCCCAAGGAGAAGCAAAACAGTGAACCCAAGTATCCCATACCCCTCCCACATCCCGCCGCCCGCACAACTATGCGTGCAACAACAAATCACAATTTATGAAAAAGTGCTTTCAAAAGTAAGAGTAGATGGAGCTGCTCTAAGTGTGTGTGTGTGCGTGTGTGCGGGTGTGGGTGTGTGACCGGCTAATTGCTGTTGCCCCCAGCCACAGGTGGCAAAGGCCCCCATTCTCCGCCGCCCCCCCGCTGCATTCAATCTCCTGACCAATTGTTGCGGCACACGCAAATTTCGAAGAACGTTAATTGATTTTGGTGTGTGGCGTGCCACAGGCAGAGGCAGAAGCAGAGCCAAAGGTCAGCGGGCAGCCGCAATTAGCAAATCTAACAGTTCCAAGAATCGATTCACTGCAGCCCCAAATTAATTGGGCGCCCCCCAAACAACCAACAAAAAATATAACATAAAAAAATAAAAAGAAGAAGAGAAAAATACGAAAAAAAGGGAAGACGAGGCGCAGTGTGCCTCCCCTCAAAGAAGGCCATATTTTCCTTTTTTTCTTTTTGGCAATTTTGCGGCAAGTCAAAGAAGTTGTCGCCACACAAAACGGAAAGTAGCAGGCTGGGCTGCGGAGGGGAGGGAGAGGGAGAGGAGGCAGCAGCAGAAGTGGGGACAGACAGCAGGCGACGTGTGTCAAAGGTTTGACAGGCCTTAATTGTGCAGAGAACAGAGGGGGAACAGAGCAGGCCCATGAAGGATTGCTGAACTTTTGCCTGGGAATCTCTTTGGAGCGGCAGGAATCCTCAAGGAGAGCTAAAGGCTTTGGATCATCGGATAAGAGATAGAACAGTGCGTCATAATGGAGCAGATGTCGTGCAGCAAGGATTAGATTGTAGGGAGAAGGAGATAATAGAAAAGGGATAGCCCTCTACATATAGAGCATTCCCACCATCATGGCTTACTCTGCCAATATACACATTTTTCCATACAGAGATACCTGTTGTACTATCTCGAGTTCTTAAAGCCAGTAATTCAATCTTTCACCTCATTCCGGAATGCTTCAGTGAATGATATTTAAGCTGAAAAAGGGTAAAAGAATACATCACTCTCTTTGATCTTAGCAAAGATACCTTTCTATGGCAGAATTGATGACTCAAGTTTGTAGAGCAAAAATCTTAAAAAGAAATTCACCCGCAAACACACTCAAAAAAACAACACAACACCACACCACACAGAATCAAAGAATTAAAGTTTTTTCTGCTTACCAAATGCCAAAATAGGCAAATAAACAAAATCGAAAGCAAATCCAAAAACAAAACAGGAAGTCTTTGGTTAATAAACTACTACATATATAGAAAGTGAAGTGAAGGAAAAGCTGGCCAGGATGCCAGGACTCGTGCTGCTGCTGGTGCTGCTGCTCAGTGGCTCGCTTCTGGCGGAGATCTCCCACATGCCGCTGGCCAGCAATCGAATCATCATGGGCCCATCCGGGCAGCTGTCATCGCCGGTTCACCCGATGCCCGGGCCGGTGCCAACGTCGGCGACGGCGCGATGTCAGAAGCTGCAGAGATACCGCAAACTGCTGAAGGACATCGATGATGTGGAGGACCTGTATGTGGATGTGCCCGTGCATATCGCCCTGGAGGGGCGGCAGAAGAAGCGGTAAGTGGGGTAGTGGGTAGTGACGCGGTCTTGTAATATGGCTAAGTGCGATGGCGACGCCGCCTGTCACACAAATCAAATTATGGCCAAACAAACACGAAAGATGTCCAACGCCAAAAAGCTAGGGGCGCCTCCAAAGAAAAACCGAGCAAGAACCGAGCAGGGGAAAAATAATTTATAACCACGACGTGTGGCTGGCCCGAAAAAAAAATTCAAACCAGAGCCAGATTTTTTGTACAGTAGCCCATATAAGTACGTGCACACAGGGGCATGTGTCTGTCTCTGCCTCTTTTTGTGGGTCTAGTGTGCGGATTTTTGTTGGCCTTACAGCTGCTGCCACATATTGGCACATTGGATTGGGATTCCCTGAAAAATTGGCTATGTATTCGGCAAATTTTTACTTGATATCTCATTACTGCTGTGAGAATACGTCTCTTATTTGAGTCAAATGGAATGCAATGGAATACTTCTTTATTAAAGAGTCAAGAACTTGCAAGCCTACTCTGCAAACTAAAATCTGAATTCCCTTTGATAACCACGAGTGTCCCATGAGCGCCTTGCCACACCACTGTGGCACTTCAGCATAACACGTGGCGTATGAGCAATGTTATTTTTCTTTTTTCCGAGTTTCATTGCTTTGACGGAGCCTGGACCTGGGCTTGGGCCTTGGGCCCGTCACGTTTTCGCTTAGGCAGGCCTGCGTCGGGCCAGGGATTTTCATTTCCATCATCTCCAATGGACGTGCTCTCCGTTCGACGGTTTGCAGGAACTAGAGACCCCTGGCTTATGGCTCGTATAACATTCGATCATTCGGCATACCATACAGCAAACAGCTAGCAAACATTCAAATTAATGTCGTGGTTTGTCGCCATCTCCTTTTTCGGAGCCATTTCTACTTCATTTTGTTGGAGATCCGAGTACGAGCACTAGTGGTTCTCTCTTGAGTTTTAGAGTCGCGCGACCCTGCAGTGCTCCAATTGACCGACTACATCTCCAGTATCCAGTATTCAGTATCCAGTATCCAGCTCCAGTCTCCAGTCTCCAGAGTGCGAGTTGGAGCCAGAGCCAGAGCCAAAGACAGAGTCAGACTCCGAGTACGTGATGTTCGTCTCGAGTTGCCAGTTTGCGGAGCGTGTGAAAAGGAGCGAGTCGGTCGCCAGAGTCGCGAGCGCAATTTATGGCGCGTGCAGTCATTAAGAGTTTTGCTAGAATCAGCAACGATCCGCCTCAAAGTGCATGTCCCACCCGGTTGGCATCGCTCGTATCGTTCGTATCCGCATATCCTGCCTTCCTTCCCTCTGGGTCCCTGCCAATCAACTGCTTGCCAGCCGTTAATATTTTTGCGCAAACAAATCATAAATATTAATTTAACGACTTAATTCGACGGCACAATTCCAATTCCCAATTCGATCATTCGCTGCCAAACCACCGCGCCATAGCGGCCACCTGTAGCATCCGCTCTCCTCTCTAGTTGTGGCAGCCACTCAGACAACCATCCAATCCAGCCAGCGCGGCCTCAAATCAAAACAGAACCGCACCACAATAGGCACCAGGTAGTGGCCACCTTTTGGACCCCGACTCTGGGATACCCCTTACATAAGTCACTTGCTATTTATCAAGGATGCTACGATGCAATATATATCTCGGCATTTCTAAGGTCTTACCAGATGTATCGCAGATCTTTCCATTCGAGTATACCCTTCCCTGGCACATTTGTATGTCTACAGGATATCAAAACAAAAACTCTGTTAATGTGTTGATGTTGTTTTTTGGGTTGTTGTTGCATTTTTATGTGCGCCGCAGGCTCAAGCGATGTAAACAACTTTTATTGCCCTGTCCGACAGTCTCCTCCCACACCTCTCTCCGTGCTCTCGTTCCCTACTTTATGGCGTGAAACTATTTATTTGTAAGCGTATCAAAGGAGCCACTACACCGCAACACAGCAGCAGCAGCTACAGCTACGGCAACAATTTGCAATAAAAAGCTGTGCATAATTCTTTGTTTTTTGAGTGAACCTTGCCGCAGAAATTTCGCACAATACCCATTGCCCCATCATCGACATCGACATCAACATCACAGTCATCAGCGGCATCGTCATCGTCATCATTCGGAACAACTTTCTGCGTCGCCAGAGAATATATCCTACAGTGGGTATAGTATAGTATTTATAGCACTGGCCAGAGTACGAAAATACTCGGCCGAGACGGCAGCAGACTGAAACTGAAATCGGAATCAGAATAAGAATCAGCATCACCATCAGAATCGACATCAGAATAGAACCGAACCGTACGAACATATCAGACATAGGGGCGTCGCGAAGCGTCGTCGCTCGATTTGTGTTGAGACGCATTGGGGCTGAGAGTTCTCTTAGTCAGACACACTGAGGCAAGGCAAATGGGTAGTACGAGTAGGTACTTCAGCGCCATAGTTCAATAGTCTAAAATTTCGCCAAACAGAAGGAACGAAAGGTAGGGGGCCAGGAGCCACTAAGTGCTCACTGCGCCCATTTCGGTGTGAGTAATTGAGTGTGGCTCCTCTGCCCATTTCTGTGTGGCATTGTTATGGGTCTGAATCATTCATAGGATCGGTATGTTGCGGCATGATAGAGATATCAAATAATAGAGAAATAAGTAGCAGACAGACAAGATTCCAAGTGAAATACGAGTGGAAATCAAACTTTATTTACACCAAATAGTAATCCTATTGGATGGAAATTCCTTTTGAAAGCCATTGTTGGACTTGATGACAAATTGTATCAGATACAAAAAGAGAACAATATGTTCTCCGGCAGAAGAGTAAATTCCAAAGAAATTTTCAAAGCGATAACAGATTTATAGGAATTTCTTTCCTCAGAATTTATTATAGATTTAACTCAAATTTTCAAAGTAATTTCCAATATGCTTTTTGCTTTTTTCTCTACAAAAAGAATTTGTTTTCACTTATTATGTGTGATACGAGATACGAGTATTTTCAAATCAAAACTTCTTCAATCCGATTAGGTACTAGAAGAGATATTTGTTTGGATGCAGTGACTTTTTCTTATATACGGGACGGAAAGGGACAGGGACAGGGACAGGGACAGGGACTGTGCAATCAGTGAATGTGCTACTTATAGGAATGGCTCCTTAACTTGTTCTTTATCTCTGTTTTCGGTTTGGAGTTTTTCGTGCTGGGAAAAGCTGAAGCTGAAGCAGAAGCAGAAGCTGATTGTCAATTTGCGGAAAGTGGAGTGCCAGGGGTGGTGGCTGCCGTCCAACAAGGGGTGCTGTAAGACTCCGCGCCCGCCTGCCTGCATCTGCTTCTGCTGTTCATTTTTGTTGTCTTCTCTCGTGATAGTTGCAAAAATAGAATTTTGTCTCTGATTTTAAGTATTTCGCGTGAAAAGTAACAGAAGCGACCAGACCCAGGCCAGACCAGACCAGACCAAAGACCAGACACGAGACACGAGACGCAGAACCAGACCAGACCAGACGACGCAAACGACAGCGACGAGCAGGAAGACAAGGAAGACTGCGTTGGGGTTGTCTCTCAATTGCAAATTTATGGGAATTGAGTCAATTTTTATCGCAGCCCAAGCGGGCAGCTACTCCTCGTAGTTTGTTTTAGTTTGCCTTTTCCCTTGCTTGTCTATCTATCCAATCCCAATCCCAATCCGAATCCCAATCCCTATTCAAGACCAAATCCAAATACATTCCCTGTTGTCTCTAGAGAACTTTGCGTCGTTTGACTGGCGTAAATCGTATGACTGGAGCCACTTGAACTTGCCGTTCCCACTGGCTCCTCCGCAAATGTCGAGAGGTCCTTTTCCTGCGAGTGCGACGAGTACGCGGAGTAGCAGAGATTTCACTTTGCTGCTTGACCTGCAGCCTGAAGGGCCAATGGCGAATCATTAGCTCGGCCAGAAATGCGACGGAGGCGCAGAGAACTCCCACACCGAGGATGCCGAAGGGCCCCTTCAGGTGCTCCGTGGTGAGGACAATGGCGTTCTCGGCGAACTGGGGACGCATCTTGGCAATGCGATTCAGATAGGTGTTGTTGTAGCGGAAGTCTGCGTCTATCTTCTGGAATATGCCCACGTCCCTCATCGACCGGATGATGCTGTTCATCTCGTAGAGGAAGGGGAAGCCCGCCTTCATGATCATCTGGATGGGGCTGGTGAAGACGTTCTCCGGAAAGGCGAATATGTCGTCAGCAAGGGCGCTCTGGAGCGTGTACATGCGATTGCTGAGGATGCAGCGCTTTCCCCACTTCACGGCCAGCAGGTTCTCCGTCTTCGGCGTGAACTCCGGCGAAACGTTGTACGAGTTGAAGACCCACATGTCGTCGTCATTCTCGAACCAGTCGCGGCTCTCTTCGTGCCCACCAAAAGGTATGCCTGCGGCCATCACCTCCGTGAGCTCATCCAGCTGATGCAGATAGCCGGGATCCTGGAAGGTCGCTATCATCTTGGACGAGTATGTGGCCACCACATTCAGGCCGTACAGGGTGAGAGCCATGAAGAAGAGACGTGTGGTCTGGCACACGGGCCGCTCCTGGACTGCCACCGATATGGACACCGCCAGCGAGTTGATGGCCGTCAGGCTGATCTGCTGGAAGTAGTCCGGCTCCGGAAGCAGGCTAACCAGGGCGAACCAGAAGAGCCAACTGATCAGGAGCACCACAATGAAGCCTATCCAGGTGCTCGGCTCGAAAATGCCGACCATAGCCTGCCAGGCGGGCCGGCGATCGGCCACCTTGATGTACCAGGTGTGGGCATCCTGCAGGTAGCAGTCCGATCCCCAGAAGAACTCTGCCACCTCGTTGTCTGGATAGTAGCCTCCCATCACGAAATCGCATTCGCCATCTGTCAGTTTGCCCAGCAGCCCGTTCCAGTTCCCAGAACTGTCCATTTCCCCCCGAGATTCCAGACTGCACGTCTGGTTTATCTAATTGATTGAGGGAAAGAATACGGAATGAATCAGATTTTGGAATATCGTTTGGACTCACCATGAACTGCAATCGGCTGCGCATAAATCCCAATATCCGCATCTCGATCCCCAGGATACAGTCGGCCTCGACGAAAGGAGCCGAGACGGAAGCGCACACAAAGAAGGTGCAGTTCTTCGGACTGAAGCCAGTCATGTAGTCCGTCATGGCCGCGTGCACGGCATTGGGGTTGGGAAAGAGCTGGCCATCGTGGCACTGGCCCACGCTCTGGACACTGAGGATGCGGCAGTCGACGTTGCTGTAGTAGTCGTTCACCAGAAGGTTGTAGTCCATCGAGGAGTTCGCGTATACTAGAGCAACCCGGTGCACGTAGAAGCTCTGCATTAGTTCGTTGAAGATCTGGGAGGCCACGCGCCAGGGTCGGTTGTGCACCTGGGGATTGTGGAAGAGCACCAGGAAGCGCGCGCCTGGATTCCACGAGCGCATCCGGCTCACATAGCGGCTCATGAGGCTGAGAAGGCGCTCGACGGTGTCCACAATGATCACATAGTTGTCGGCCAGGAGCAGCTCGCCGAAGTTCTTGCTCTTCTCCTGGTGGCTCATGTGGTCGGAGACGACGCGCAGCTGAAAAAGCTCCGAGCGATGCGGCTCCCCCGCCTGGGTGACCGCCTCGTTGATGAGCTTGTGGAATCCCTCCTGGATCTGATCCGCGGGCGTCGACAGGTTGAAGGCATTGGTCAGCATTAGGTTATAGGAGCGGGTGTAACGTTCCCTGGGATGCCGGTAGAAAAAGATCTGGGAAAAGCTGTCCAGGCAGTCCACCCCTGCACGCCACGTCTCTGGGCCCAGATCCTTGGCGGGCAGCATATAAATCACCGTGTTGGCTGTGTCATTTGAGGGATTCACTATGGCATACACGACGAGTACCCTTTCCAGTGCCAACAGCAGCAGCAGAAGAGGACGGCAGATCGCACTCTGGTAACTCGACCACATTTTGTCTGTCACGCTGAACGATGGGGAGTCAACTGCGTGGGGCACATGTCTGTGAATCCTGCGCTGCATGTGATGTGCCTGCCCGACACCCTACATACGAGTGCTGCAGCATATCGGCAGCTGGAGCTGGGTTGTCCTGAGTCATCATTCTTGGGAGTTTGGGAAATTTATGGCACTCTCGCAGCCATTCCAAGTCCATTATGCTCTCGGATGGGTGGGATGGGTCGGATGAGTCGGATTGGACATAATCCATTAAATCATTGCCCATCGAGCGCATTCAACTTTCGTCTTTGGCTGATGTTTGCCTTATATAATTGACTGCTGTCATCAGATGGCCGACAACAAGGATAGTGGCAGCAGCAACAGCAATGGCAACGGCAACGGCAGTGACAGTGGCAGCAAACAATGCAATTGCAACATGCGAGGCTTAAATTAAAGCAAATATTGGCTCAGTCGCTGCGGCGCCGCCGCCCAACAATGGTCGAATGCATTAAAACACTCCATCACTTTTCTGCTGGTGCTGGGCTGGGGAATGCCAGAGAGAGAACCTTTTGGCAGACCAGCCAAAAACATGCATATATACCATCTATGTCCACGGACATGAACATCCTTTTGCTGCGGGGGCGGGCGTCGCTTGAGGACTGTGCTGGGCAAATGGCGTTGGCCGGAAGTAGCTGGTCATAAAAATAAAACTTGAGATGGCCAACGGCCATAAGCCAAGTCAATGAGTCATTTGCTGCAATGGCCAATAGCTATCCTCTGCGTCCCGCATCCTGCATCCTGCATCCTGCATCCTAGACTGCCCATCATATAAGGACCTGTGTGGGTGTATCGGGCCGGGCATTTGTCTTTGCCGTTGTTTGTCATTAGAAAAACTGCTCGTAAATTTCTTATTTAATTACAGTGCAGAAAGAACTTCCATCAGGCAGCAACACAGACTACTTGGACTCAATCTTTGGCTGCAACAATGTTGCAACAGCATCAAGGCGATGGACAAACAAATACAAGTTGCTTGTGAGGGAAGGCAAAGTGTGGATACTCTTTAAATACGGTCTAGTTTGGTTTTGTCACCATTTTTCTTCGTTCTTCCTTGAACATTTCAAGCAACGATACACTCCTTTCAGTTTCAATTAAGTTTTCAAAACCCCAATAATGCAACTGGTTGGTTCGTGTCGCACTCATGGCCATTCAAATAAGTTCCTACTTCGAATGAACATATGTATATAGTAATCAAAGTGCCTTAGATAGGGTATAGTATAGCCAAAACATGCTGACTCATTTGCCGGACTCGGGACAGAGCCACAGGCGTCAGTCAGAACAAATTGCGTGTGATAATTTAGTGTCATCATTTTTGACAAAGGGCGTTAACAGCTCACTTAGTCCGTCCCATCGTCTGAACACGCCTTCGTCTTCCTTCTTCTCGTCTTGCAGATTTGTGCTGAACCTGAACGCCTCGACGCCGCTGACGATTCTCTTTTCGGTGACCGTGGGCCGCAAGATGTACTACAATCAAACAGGTAAGCACTGTCCCAGCACTGTCTCAACCTCAACCTCAACCTCAACCTCATCATCGTGATCATCAAATGGCCCGATCCGCAGCGAATGTACTGCGACCAGCAGCCGTTACACCTGGCCCTGGCATTGCTGTGGGCAGTCTCGTGCTTCCCTGCGCCCTCGCCGGCCAGTACGATCTCTTTGTCCAGGCGCGACAGGCCGGCGCCCTGAAAGTGGACGCCCTGGCAGAGCATCCGCAGCAGTCGTGGCCGCTGCTCAACGAAACGCATCGCATCCACATTCGCACCCACAATCGGGTGCGAAAGCGTCAAATGGTGGTCAAATGGGACAGAAGGTGAGAGTAAATGCTTAATTATGTTAATGTACAGCCTGAATCCCTTTTTCTTCGATTTCCCTTGCAGCAAATTCGATTACCATGCCATGCATTATTGTCTGGTCATCCAGCGCATGGTGACAGCGTCGCTCCGCAATCCGTTTGACAACTTCTGCCAGGCCGTTGGGGCCTATGTGGAGCAAAATCATCCAAAAGCCTCTGGCTGCTCCACCGGCGGCAGTCCCCTGGATCTGGTCTGGGGCTCGCCTCCAAAGCGCGAGCGTCGCCTGAACCCGCGCCACAATCTCCACATTGTGTGCACTGGGAAGAGACGCCAGCAAGTGCTCCGCCGACTGCTGCCCAAGAACAGCTACCAGCTGGATCTCTACGGGGTCCATCAGAGTCGCCAGAACCTCACGATGCTGCTGAGCAGCAGCCAGGTGAGCTTCAACCGCACCCAGCCGATGGCCCTGCGGCAGCAGTCGCTCACTCTGCTCAAGATCGGCGGGCAGCACGGGATGCAGGTATACAGCTTCAAGGTGCCGCAGACGGAGCCGCCACCGGCGTATATGCGCCACTTGTTTCTTCCCTGCTCGGGCAGTGAGATTCGAGTGAACCTGCTGCGCCAGCGGAATGAGGTAGTCAGATCGGATGCCTTCTACCGGCCCACCTATCTTCGGCAGGATGGGGTCCAGCCCGGCGAACGCTATCTGATGCGCTTCGAGCCCAGCAACGAGGACGAGGCGGTGCGTGCCCAGAAAGTGTTGGTAAGGATGGATGTAAAGCCCGTTTTTGTTGAGCCCCGGCTAAGCGATAGTTCTCCCCCTTCCTGCAGGTGGCTGTGAGCAGTGAGCATCTCTTTAGAGATCTCCCGGAGCTGCCGCTGAATATCAGCGTCTTCAATGTGCGTACGAGATGCAATCGAGCGACCATAGCCTGGAACGGTTCACCCGATGAGCGGGATCTCAGGTAGATCTATAAAAATACCAGTATTCGGGATAACAGTTCTCCAATAGCCACGGTTGCTCTCCATTCGTTGCAGCTACTGCATCATTGTCTTCAATCTGCCGCAGCGTAATCGCAGCGTTGTGGATTCCACCAACTACTGCATGGACTTTGTGCCCAAGCAGGTGATGCAGTACAAGAACTTCCAGTGGATGACCTGTCGGGAGAGGCAGCAAAGGCAAGCCGAAGATTCAGTGGATCTGTCATGTCTTATATCCTTTGCGTTTCTTTACAGCGCCGACAACATCGAAACGGAGACCATACTAAACCTAATGCCCGGCTCCAGCTATCTCGTCTATGTGACGGCCAATCTGAGCATGGGCAAGCCACTTCCCTATCAGACGCTCACCATCCACATGTCCAGCCAGTGCCTGGATGGATCCCACGAATCCTATTACTAACTGGGCCCCAACACTAAAAGCTTCGCTGCATTTGCAACTACAAACACAAATACGAATACCACAAATAAAGCAAGAAACTATCCGTCGTTGTAAAGCTACCTAATCTACTATACCTACTATATGATAACTAAACTATCTAAAAAACTATCTACTACCAATACTACGCTGGTTAAAAGACTATACTATACACCTATACAAATATACATATGTTCGTGGCAAATGTTGTGTGAGTGATTGTCTGTGTCTGTAACTGTATCTGTCAGTATGTCAGTATCTGTGTGCGCGTGTCTGTGCGAGTATGTGATTTATGTTTGCCAACAGATTCCAAGTATTTTCGAGTGCTTAGTTTTGTAATTTCGATCGTAGCTAGCTCTATAAATGTTTGTATAAAATGTTTCGTTTGCCTTCCTTTTGCCTGCCTGCGCGTATATGTAATCGTTTTTTCGATATTTAGTTTAGCACTCTTACGAATAGTTTACATTTAGGTACTTTTTTCTAGGCTTTTGCTGTTAAGTTTAATCCGTAATCAAAGAATTTGCGTGTATTTTTTAGCTAAGCATAATTATATATTACTATCTACCACATATATTAAATATACCTTTACGAATATATATGTATATGTATATGTATGTATGTGCGTTGAAGGCGTTGTATTTTTTGAAGCTGAACTTGTGCAACTTAAGGTGGACAATAAACAAATGTGCTATATATGGAGAAAAATCCAAGAGAATGTCGCAAATAAATATGAAATCAAAGCTATTTCAAATCGGAGTGTTCAACAATCTTTTACTTGAGAAATTGGGAAAGTCACTGCAATCACATATCCTCCATCCTCCATGTACGATTATTCTAGTATTGTATTCAAAAATATAGACGACCAAGAAAAATAACTTACTATTATGTTGACCTCAGCTGTATGTACAACGCATTTGATCAATATTCTGCGATTACCACTATCATCATCATCACCATTGATTCATCATTCTTCCATCCAATCCATCCTGATAGGATGTGCAACGGGGTGCGCATAACAATGACAGCCGATAGCTATCTGGGATGTCGCCCGATAAGCGGGCTCCGACGAAGCGATAATACTAGGACTATAACATAAAAGCCAATCGGTAGCGGTAGGTAGCCGGAGTTAAAAGCCCATATCTGTTGTAAATCTTTCGACAGTTTTGATGCCAACGCTTTCGAGGTTGGTGGAGTGCGTGCTCGCGGAAAAACTGTTGCGTACTTGTGGGCGCAGCTGAAAATGGCGCTCTTGCATTACACGTGGAAGCAACTGGAGCTGTACTTGAAATGGGCCTTGGGCAAGAACACCACAGTGACGGAGAGTCCTGCGAGAGAGCCCTATCCGGGCATATTCGTGGAGGACCTCAGCCAGTTGAATCGTTTCAAGCGGAATGCCTTTATGTGCGTTGTGGGCGCCCTCTTTCTGATGGCATTCTTTGGAAATCTGAGCACCATCTATGTGAACACCAGGAGGAAACTGCGCCCTTTCTTTCGGGCCTGCCTGCTCTCGCTGGCTTTCTCCGATGTGGTCTCCAGTGTCTTCTGCACCGTGTCCTATATAGCGCAGTTCCATGCGGATTATCTCCAGTTGTGGGTGAGTCCCGCGTTTAATCGGTTGGCGACCTTTGTTGAATTTGGTTGTTTTTCCAGACCATTGGCAGCTTTATGTGCAGGTTTGTGCCCTTTGTGACCACTACATCGGTGCTCTCCGGCAGCTTGACCCTCGTGGCCATTGCGTCGGACCGCTACCTGGCCGTGATGCGGCCAGTGCTGGGCTTCTGGAACCCTGACATCCGCTACAGCTGTCTCTGCGTGGGCCTCATATGGGTGTGCTCCATAGGCGCCTCTGCACCACTGTTTGGCATCTACGAGTACCACAGAATCTATCTCCTGGACCTGGAGACCCCGACACAGCAGACAACAGACGACGACGGGGAGACAGATCAGAAGCTGGAGGTCACAGAATTGGAGCTGGTCAGCATGTGCCTGGCGGGCGTCGTAAGTCCATGAATAGATTATCGCACTACGTGGGGATCGGGGCGATTATGGGATTATTATCTTATCGCTTGGCGTGGGAAAAAACATTTATGCAATTCTATATACATATACGCAGAGCAACGAGGGCCTCTACTACGTCATTTTGTTCACCCTCATCTTCCTGCCCTGCATCGTGAGCTTCATCTGGCTGAACGCGGTGATAGCGCGGCAGCTCTGGGTGCGGCGCCACTACCACCAACACCAGCAAGAGCAGCAGCAGCCGAATCAGGAGGGACAATTCAAGCCCCTGCCGGCGGCCAGTAATGGGGATGTTTTGATGCCCTCTTCCCTGGCGAGTGCGATGGGCGTGGCCCTGCCATTTGTCATCGACAAGCCTCCCCTGCCCTCGATCCCTCCCAGCCCACAAGCTCCAAGGGCGAACAACATGAATCAGGAGCCACCGAGTGCCATGGGACCAGCTGCTCAGGCTCGCGAGGCTCGCCACCGGCGCATGGTTGTCGTGGTGATTTTGATGATGGCCGTCTTCATTTGCCTGCGCCTGCCCGCCTGGATCTTTCTGATCATGCGCCTGTACGGCTCCTACTCGCAGCCCGTCGACTGGCTGCTCTACTTCAGTTTTGGTATCCTGAATCTCCTCAGCTGCGCCTTGAACCCGCTCTTCTACACCTTCCTCACCCAGACCATTCGCACTGTATCCCTGCTGAAGCAGAAGACCATGGACCTAATCTGCTGCCGCCGCCCCGGTCGGGGCCAGGACGGACCAATGCCCACGGAATCCCCAGAGCCGACAAAGCGATGCGGCTTGTGCTTCTGCTTCTGCTGTGGCCTCCGGCAGCTGACTATCACGTGGCGTTGTTATCCCGCGCACGATCCACCACCAACCACTGAAGTACGGGGCGGGGAGCAGCCCTCTGCCCAGCGAGTAGTCGAGATGGAGGCCGATCCGAGCAGCCTACAGCGATTCTTCAGCTTTAAGCATGACGTATTCCCCGTCGCCCATAGCCGCGACGATTCCCAGAGTGCGTCAATCGAGTCCTCAGCCTGATACTGATAGGCAGCGTCATAAATCACTCGAGTGCATTGCCATAAACGGTTTCTAACGGTTAGCAGAGATTGATTAATAGAGTGATTAATGTCCCCCTCCAATTCAGTCCGCGAAAATGATTGTTACGGCCACTGATAGGCAACACATTCCCTGCAACTCTGCCCTGAAATGTACCAATGTGGGTGTGCAAAAATGTAAATATAATTGAAATATTCAAATAAAAGAAGTGGAAAACTACAGACATTATAAAGTTATAGCCACACCAACCGATTAAAACACTGAAATGGAAGCCAGACTAACTAATTTTAATTACGGTGACTTAAGCTCATTAGCTGGTTGCTGTGCACAGTATATGTACTTCCGTTTCGAAACAATAGTAGAACAATTTCTATTAGGGAGATTAGACATCAGACTAACTAATTAACAGTCAAAAGTTATTCATGCAAGTCGCCGGAGCTTAAAGTACATCACACGCTTCTCTCTTCTGTTATTGTCTCTGTGAATAAAAAGCTTTACCTCTCTGAAAATCATGGAGCTCTCTACACATACGAAATGCGCTCCACAGATCTCCCGCTCTCACTCTCTCTCTCTTTCTCTCTCTCTGGTGTACAGATCATGAATTTTTATCAGCAAGCTCGGCTCCAAAGCTACTCTGGCCATCCATCGCATTTATTCTGTCTGTTCGCGTTTCACACTCGGAGCGGAGAAACGCGTTTGGCTTCCATTGAAAACTCAGTCAAAGCGGGTGAAATCTACGACAGAAGCAACCAATAAAGCAGAAGCAACGATTGTAAAGTGCATGCCAAAAAAGAAATATCAAAATACGAGTACGTATTGTATTGTAATGTATTGTATTGTGTGTGGGTAGCAAAAGCGTAAACTAAACAGATGAAACGTAAATAAATGAGGCCAATCGACAAAGGAGAGTCGCGAATTATGGCACAATATTGTCTATAAATAAAGTGTACCCGCCAAAGCCAAAGCGCCAAGCAGAGCTGAAGAAAGAAAAAGCGAAACAGAGAAAAAAATAGAAAACGAAAACCCATCAAATTCCAATTCCAAGCCTAAGCTCAAATCGAAATCCAAACAAAAAGAACAAAAGCAAGTTCAGTGCAGTTTCGGCTCGGTTCGGTTCGGTTCGTTGTGGGTCAAGTCAAGTGAAGAACGAAAGTTCAGACTCGTCTTCGTCTTCGCCGGTGAGATTGTGTGTGAAAAGCAAAGAAATATTGATTGTTTGTGAATTTATTTGGACAGGTAAGTGCGGCAAGTCAAAAAGCTTGAACACCCATCCATTGAGGAGGGGTGGTGGCTATCAATATTTTGGTTTGATTCGGTTTTTGTTTCTGCTAAACCAGTTGTGGTAGTTTTCTTACTGTTTTTACTGTTACACATGTCGTCAGAAGCGCAGGAAAAACACGTTTGCGCATTTCACTTGGCGTTGGCTTTTGCCCGTCTGCCTTCTCCTCCTTCTGGATTTGTGACTGTCTGTCACGCATGCGCAGACCGTGCATTTTCTGAATTGCTTGCAAAATCATGAGTTATGCTGTAAATCTGTCATCTCATCCGTCTGCACTTTGTTTCACTTTTTCTCTCTCTCTGTCTCCATAAATATGTATCTTTCGCTCTCTGTATTTCCATCTCTATTTTTCTCGATTGATTTGGTATTCATTTGGCATACGCAAGACTTCTTGAGCGGCTGCTGGTTACGCAGCGCTTTCATTGGTTTTGTCCGTCTTTGGCATTCCGTATCTGTATCTGTTACTGTTTATGTTTCTGTTTCTATTCGCGTGCAGTTTGCTGTGCGTGTCAGGTATTCGGCGGGTGCATATTTAATTAGCTCTTGCTAACCAAAAGCAAATAAATAGGCCAGTGTTTGGTTTGGTCATGACGAGGCTATTCCGCTGACCATCGTACGTATACTGAAGCTTGACCATGAATATCAATCCCAGAAATTTCGGGGTGTGGAATAAAGATCAACAAATGCTTCTAAAAGGAGAGATTGGATCAGACTTTTGCCGATTCATTTACCACATTTCACATTGTTTTCCTTACGACGTGCCTCAATTGGTAATGGCAGTAGAACTAATTTCTTCCTTGTCTGGAACTCACAAAAATGTCATTTGAAATCAACTGGGATTGATATGTAATGCTTTTCAGAATTATACGCGCTATTTGCTTGGGATTGGATTGGATTCCCTGACGTGCTTTTATTTGTGAAATCCAAGCATACGTGTATTGCATTTCCACATTTGGTTAAGGCTTTTCTGGAAAAACAAAAGAAACTCACTTTCGTTTTCATATCATTCATTCCGCCCTCCCCTCCCCACCATCCATCTAGGGGTCGTCTGCCATCTCTCTCCTAATTATTATAAAACAAGAAATTTTCATTAAATCATTACATGCAGCGTGACTGCCTGACTGCCTGCCTGTCTGTCTGCCTGTCTGCCTGCGCCGTTATACAATAGACTCTAAAAAGACAGAGGAGGCAGAGGGAGTCTGAGATAAAAAGCCAACAAGATTGGGTGTGGGTTGGGGACGGGACTGTGCGGTGCGGTGCGGTGCGGTGCGTTGCGGGAGCAGCACTGGTTGTTAGCACATTCCAGAGTATTTCATGTGCCGCTGCCACGGGGCAGGCGAGAGAGAAAGAAGAAATTATACGAAAATTATCAAAAATATAATTTCTAAAGAAAGTGAAAGTTTTTGGGCGCGTACAACATTTTTGACTTCTTTTTCTTTCGGAATTACCGTTGCGCCGGGAGCGGAGCTGATTTCTTTGTGCGTTGCCCTGGCCCTTCTTCGGGGGGCAGGCAGGCGGGCTGGACGGCTGTACGCTTGGAGGGGGGAATCGTGCCCTGAATGAAGGCGACTCTGAATGGGAAAGCTGAGAACCATCGGATGCAGATGGTGTGCCAAAAATCCACTTACCGCCCGACCACGTGCTGCAGCAGCCATAACCGATAAACCGGTTCGATAAGCCCCAAGAAACATTTGTAAAAAACATTTATGCGTTCGTTTAGCTTTTGATAGTTTTGTAACGCCTTTTGTTTGAGCTGTTTAGCTGTGTAGCTGTGTATCTGTATGGCGGCTGTGCTGTCGGGTTCAAGCATTTTGACGGCTCTAACTTGACCTGCATTCAGCTGGAAATTAGTGCTGTCCCTAACCTGCGGTGCCTAACCTTGTCCACGAAACGAGTTCTCCTCCGCTCCCCTCCTCTCCCCTGCCCATCCGATTGTAGTGTGTTAATACAATAGTGGATATTCCAAGTGAACCCTGTGCTCTGTGTCGGGCAACACTTTCGATTTTTCACAAATCGCAATGGCAAATGGCAAATAAAAAGTTTGGTTTTCTTTCTACTCCGAGACGGTGACGATTTCACTCCAGGGAGGCCAATGTACCCTCAACCACAGCCACAGACACAGCCCCAGAGCCCCCGCCCAGTGGCTCAACAGTGGCGCTTTATCTGTCTGGCAGACCCAACCAATAGATGAGGCAAAGCGGTATGAGGCATAAGGCATAAGGCAAAAGGCATGTCTGGATGACATCCAATGTGATGGCATTGAGCTCTACTGAAGGTTGACGCAGCCGCAGCCCCGCCATGGCTCGGATGGGAGGCAAACAAATCAATTTGCTTTATTTGTTTGTTTTGATTATACGAGTACGAGTACGAGTGTTGCTGCTATGTTGATTTCGTGTCATGTGATACTCTGATACGTACATAGCTCTGGCAATTGATACGAATAAAAATATACAATTTAGCTTGCTATTACTCATACAAGAGGAGGATATTCACTCTGAGGGATTCAAATGAGATATTCAACCGAATCATAGGCTGGAAATGTACATATGTACATACATACATGAACTTTCACCTCTCTCGAAACTGGAAAGAAACAGAAGTTGAATAACATGAGGTCTTATATGTTGATAAGAGTGTTGTTATTTGTGTGTGCCTTGTGCATCTTGCTGTATATGTAGTTCACACTGATAAGATCTGGCAGCAGCTGCACAACAACAGTGTCGGCAGATTGATAACCCTCTCTCTCTCTCTCTCTATGAAAATTCTATAAGTAAGGAGCTAAAAACTATGATCTGTGATATGCGCTTTAGGTACACGAAATAAAAGAACGCGAGTCATTGGGGCCAGAGAGATACAAATGTATCTGTCAATCCAAATAACAGCACTGCAACAATTTCATCTAATGTTGCGTGGGGCAATGGCAGTGTCAAGTGGTGGCAGTTGCCAGGCAACCGATGATGCTGATGCATGCCCCCTGTTGCCGCTGATGTTGTGGGTGTTCCAACATGTCAGCCATTTACAGCTAACGAGATTTTAAGTGCTGTCAAATGGTTACAGAAGCCACACACACACATAGATGGAATTGCAAATGCAAACGGGAAAATAGATTCTGCCAGTGTTAGGCAATTCAAAGGTCAAGTGTGTGTGATACTGGAATTCATATTAAAGGGAGACACATAAAGCCAAATAAGTCGTGGGATGTTCAGGATTGTGTAAGGAATATCGGCATTTCCTTAATGCTGTTTAATTGCGAAGCTTGTTTAACAAGTCACTAAAAAAAGACGAAGTTACATATGTTACATGGTTATTTTCGACCCTATGTCAGAAATTACATAAATTGCTCATATTTTTTTATTTTTTCACTGGGTCGACAGACTGAAAAAAACAGGAAAAAGAAACTGCATATTAAAACCAAAGCAAACCGAAAAACGTTGATGAAGGAGCACTCCTCATAATAATGAAACTCGTTTAACATAATAATGACTCTTCAATTTCGTTGTCTCTGCTTTCGGGTATATGCATGCATGTACTCTCGGTTGCATGTAGGTCAAGCCCCCGACTGCCAACTGCAGACTGCCGACTGCTGACTGCCACTTGCCCGTGGAACTGGCCGCTCCAGAGGCAGAACGTCCTCCCAGCAATTATGACACAGCAGCCGCCATGGCCGAGTCCCAGAGGAAACTGCAGGCTCATCGCACTCATGATACTCGCTCTTCTCGCA